AAGTCATTCAGTCGACAAGGGCCGTTAATTGACACTCAACACTGATCTCGTGTGATAATCTGAAGAGGACTGACTTACTGATTGGTTTCCCGTCTGCCTTATAACCTGGCCGATTTGGTGACCTGCTCACTTGGCCTGATGAAGCTTTTGTGTCAGACACGAAACGTTGCCCAAATACAATAAAAACTACCGATTGTTTATCAAGCTCTTCTGAAACGATGACTTTTTAATTGGTTCCGAAATTTTCCAACTGAATGGAAGTCATTCAGTTTAACTAGGTGGCTTGTTAGTACCGTTCACCATTTGCTCTGCTCCAAACGGCCAGCAGGTAGGCACACTTGGTTGTATAATTGACAGTATATTATCAAAGACTGCAGTAGCCATGGTGATTGCTATACTATCGAATGGCAGATGTTAGCACTTGTGTACCATAAGATAAATGGTTCCTAATTCCAATGGTCTCTTTCATTCAGTTGAAATTCAGGAGAGTTTTCCTTTGAAAACAAAATTCATTTGCAGTGTAGTGTATTCCACTAATTTTGTGCAATTTGGATTCAAGCAGAACATAAGGTTGATGGAAGCTCAAGGACTGAGCCTATCTGATCTAGGAAGATCAAGCAGAACATAAGGTTGATGGAAGCTCAAGGACTGAGCCTATCTGATGATCTCTAGGAAGAGCGAAACCTGTCTTGGGTTGTTGAAGAGTTTTCAACAACCTTATGAGTAGTGTATTTAGTTTACTGTCATTTTTTCGATTACAAAGTGCGCACTAAGAAACAAGAGTATGCATCCGCTTAGACTGGCTGACTTTAATAGAACATGGCTTGAAATGTCATTCATTTCATGGAGGGGGAAACGTATTCAGAGATCAGCTAAACCCCAAAAACGTCTGCCCATGTATGGACTTGGGACCTTACGGATATGGTCTACAACAAAGTCAGCTGACAGCCCAGAATAACTCATCCTTATAAAACAACAGAGCCACCCATTTTATTGGTCTCTATAATCACTTACTTGAGCGCGAACTACTATCGAGCTTAAACCGTCCGGCCATTTTTTATAACAATGAACATTACAGCTTTTTAACCATATCCTTGCGACTTCTTTCAACAGCAATAGAACTATTAAATTCCCAAGTTATAATGAACCAACATACTACTTGTTTCTGTATCTTTTTTGCATTTTCTGCTTCCAACTGGTCCCCATAGTGACAACCATTATTTATTGACCCAAGTTTTGTGTGATGCAAGTATCTGATGACTTTGTTTACTACGAATCACCACCGATTTCTTCTCTTTTAGATTTTCAATCTTTCCGGTTTCACCAAGGAACTTCATCTTTCAAGTAAGGTGAGTGGGACACAGATATGTTTGAAGTGCACAGTGAACGATTTATCTTCTGTAACTTTTTACGTAGATCCATAATTTTGAATGAGTTTCAGATCTACATATGTTGAAACAAGTAAACTGTTTTTTCTTCATTTTTTCCGTTGTTGTTATATTGTATCATATTATATTATATTATTAGTATATTATATTATGGGATTTGGCCTTGGAATATTCGGAGTAGAGGGTTGATCCCACACTCAAATGGACCTCTGCCATCAAAAGACTTTGACAAACGCTGATAACTCTGATAAATGAAGTGACCTGGGAAAATATGGATAGACTGGCGGGTAGGCCAGTAACACTCACGGGTTGAATGACCCATAGGACGACGGTACGCCCTATCTATAATTTCAGCCAAAGGGGTTGGCTACACAGTTGGGGTTGAAATAACGTTCCCGTTTAACGACCGGCTACAGATATAATACGCCTTGCCAGAATGTTTCGAACATCAAAGAGTGGTTTTACTCACACACAAAACTCTAGACCTGCGGCTTCAGAGTCTGATTTCGCCGCCAACTGAAACAAATCTACGCCACTCTGAGATATTATTCTGGCATCTGCGCAGTACTCCATCAAAGGAAAACACGGTCAAATTACAGCGTGAGAGCGAAACAAGATTGCAAGTTGAATTCGTCCAAAATTTTGCAAACCCTGCTCTTACTACTAATTAAACGTTGTCCAGTAGGTTTCAAGTATCTTTGGCGCTACCTGACTGGAAAGTCTTGATAGCCGGCTCAATCGATCGATACTACCAGGAGAGTTTGAAGTGTGTGGCAAAACCAATCACATCGCCTGTTCGGAATAAAATAGTTCACGTACATCCAAGATGTATTGGTGAGGTAGTGAACACACGCTCCCTAGACATGTGAGGTGCCCGGGCTTCGAATTCCGGAACGAGAAAGGTATGCACTGCTGATGACCTCCAGTAAACGCGAAACTCAAACCCTGTGCTTCCATCTGCTTCGACGCAGATTCACGAAAATAACTTCGCTTTATGAACGTCCACCACTTTACTTAACATTCGTGAATCTGAACCAATGTATACCCGTTAGGTATCTATCATCATCGGTCAAACATACATTCTAGCGTCCCCGAGGTTGATCAAAGTGGTTTCACCAGTGCCTGAGCTCCATTGGTGTAAAAACGATGACTATATTACGGTCAAGAAAGTGTGATATCTTTTGGGATTTCTAGACATGTACTATCCACTGAAGAGGACCGCGGTCATACCCTGAACCGTTAAACTTCAAGTGCTTCCCTTACTGGGATGAGGGCACTTGTACGCCGACGAACGACGCTGACAGCAATCACATACTTGATAAATTTAGGTTCGGCGACCCAGTCACGTGACGGGGCCCTCCAAGCCACGGTCCAGAAATTACCTACTGATGATGGCGGTCGAATGATCGCATGCGAATGAAGGAAAATGTCAACCGGTTGGACTACATTATAGGATGTACAAAACAAGCTGCCTTTCTGGTTGATTTTCTTTTCAGTGGACACGAGTTTCACAACAAAACTTTGAAAAAACAGTTCATCATAACACAGACCAATTGATAAGTAGTTGTTTGGGTGAACAAATCCTCGGAATTTTGAAAATTCAGAAACCACAAGGGGCTATCATACTTCGATAGAACGTACGTTTTACGCCATCTTTTTCCCCAACAGGAAGTTTTATCACAGTATTATCCAGCTCTCCTGGTACTGACTCATCAAAACTCTAGTCTGAGTCATCAAAACAGTGCTTTGTACCCGAAACCGCAGGTGGACGACAGGTAACAGGTGAAAAGCCTGTCTGCCCACAGCACTGTTCCGGATATCAGATGCTCAGTGAAGAAATTCATTGAGGATTTACCTGTTCGCTTTGCGTTTGTGTCCTGCAACCTGTGTTGATTTTTTTTCAAGGTCATCTACGTCAGACATCCTCAATTTGATAGTATAGCCATCTCTAAGAGACTTGTTTTCGAGCTCTCAGTCAATACGAATGACAGGTGCATAGAACAGTATTTTCATTGACAATTAAGGTGATTGCGCCATGATAAAAGACGGGGGCCTTGACAGATTATGGTGTCGCTTCAACAACAAGAAACTGATGTCCCTACGTCGTGTCAGGCAAGTTGACGCTCTCCACCGTGTCAACAGACCGAACGTGATAATTGTACTGGGTAGAGGTGCAGTAGGAGTAACTGAATCGTGGGTTCTTGAGGATGATAGTACGCAAACAGTAGCCTACACACTGAAGGTCATTCTGCTACCGTAAAGTCAACAAAAGTCAATGGATTGTCATCAGTCCTACAAGAACACTCCAGATGAAGTCGTTCTCACATCCTCTTGCTCTTCTCTTCTAGGTCCCGGTGATAGATCTCTTCTGGCCAGTTCCCCTGGCTCCCGGTCTGGAACAACTTGTAACCGCTATTGATCAACTTGATTACTGGTTGCACAACCACGATAATGGGGCTGGCACAGGCACCCAGCCACCTCCGACTAATCGCGTCGCTGTCTTACATTGTACTGGTCCTCGCAGTCTGTTGGCTACTTATCTGGCTGTGTATATTTGTCAGTCCAAGGCTCGTTTTGGACCATTGTGCGGGCAGAGGCCAGGATCTCCAACGGCCCGTGGGTTGCGTTGGAACGAAAATCGATTTCGACGGTTGGTTTGATTTATCTATTTGAAACAAATTGTTAAAATACGTGTTCCTTGGGATTGCAAGGAGTTAATCTATTCACCTGCCATCCATGTTCACTTGAGATGTATTGCACTTAATTTCAAAAAGTCGAGGGACTTCGCACACAACGCGTGGAAACACAAAGTTTGCCCAACAGCCACACTAAAAATTCGCGGGGAAGAGGAAATAAGGAATGTGACTGAGATCAAAATGAGACTGAAATTCAGCAGGCCCCTTTTGTGCTTCAAGAATGTCTTGAGATTGGAAATTCTGTAGCTTACTGGCTCGAGTCTAATGTCAACCCTCATATCTGAAATATTCTTGGTTATTCACTAATGTTGAAATATGAGGACTCGCAGCTTAGTTTTTCATGAATAGACGGCAACTCCTAAATACCTCCGCGATCAATAACTTCCAAAAATGACCCGACCTGATTAGCATAAGTTTAGCTGTCTGTCTCAGTATATGGAGACAGATCAGATAAGAATCCTCGAAATAACCGAACGATTTATGTTCTTATAGTTAGTCCACATAGGCGGGTGAACGAGTCTGTCCCCTCGGGCCTAATTTTGTTCCCTGTTCACCGGATGACTAGTATCCAAACACCAAACAAGCTAGTTAACAGCTGGATGAGCTTGACAGCACACGGTTAGACTAGCGTCCCAGCATTGTTAGCGTGCGGATCTGACTACTTGTAAGTAGTCAGAAAATCGAAAAGTTTATATGGGTCCGCTTGAGAGCAAGCTGCTGGCAGATGTACACATGCGTAGATAACTTACGTCAATGCATTGAATTGTGAAGCAGTCAAGTTAGGCCTCACTTTATTGATGTTCCTGTTGTGGACACGTGACCGACAGCGGATGCTGCGCTGATTGGTCGCTAATGCTTAGCTGCAAGCTGTATGCAGATTCGAGCAGCCACGGCGATTTTCAAACAGGTTGGGTATCAGGACAAAGTGTGCCGTCAGTATATCTTCCATGTCGTCCGTGTAACGTTGGAAATGCTGTGTGTAGCCCCAGACTATTTTGTCAAATGATGATTTTGGCTCATCATTTGTTCCCGTGGGATTTCCCGTCTCGCGAAGCGTCACGTATCTACGTTTGACGAATCGTGGGCTTCCAATGGGATTATTCATCTGCCTGCGCGCTTTCAATTCAAACCGTTTAAAATTCCCCACTATACACACCCAATTTTCTGGCTTCGTATTCTATGAAGCATGAACGGACGCAAATATTTGGTAGTTATACTGAATGTTTTACTTGCATTTTGGTGAAACAGCTGTGGTGATATAGCCAGCATTTTTTATTACTATCAATAATACTATTGTATGTAGTCAGGTAAGTTGCCTACAGCCACGTGACAACATGTCCTTCATTATGAATGAAAAACAGATCGATATTACATTCATTGTGTGAGTAAAAGACGATTCGCCAAAATATGGAAACTACTCAAGCCATTTTCTTTCAATTTCTTCATTTATTCGTGAGACAAACTGCAAATTTGGATGAATAATGCATGTATCTCACACTGATTCAAGTTTACATCCAATTTCTCTGTCTTACCTCATCGCCGCTCATTGAAAACCGTTTTATGGTGCGTCATCCCATTTATCCTGTTTGAAAAAACAAGGTCTTTGCTAGGCATTCTAGAAGCCGGTGAAAATAAACAACTCACGAGCTGGTTTGATCTGCTTCCGTGGATCACGCACACAAAAAATGGGACAGTCACACGATAGGATTAGAAAAACCAGTGGAAGAGAAAGTCTGTTTTTTTTTTGGAAGGGGTATAGTTGAGTACACGATAAACGTGAGATCCGGATCAATAGGTTTTGTGGATATCAAGCCGTTGTGGACCAAAAATGGTTCCACAAAATGTAGCAATATCTTGTTTGAACTGGACAATAAAATTAGAAGTGAACTAGGCGAGTCAAAAAG